CCTTTTCCCTATCTGGGTGGAGGGACCCCAGAAATGTGGGGCAGATCCTTGAACCCAGGATCGGGGGGGGGGGGAGGATGGTCACAAAAGGAGACTAAGTTGGGGGGGGGCAAGAGCCCTTTTTTCCTTTCCAGCTGCCTTAGCAGAGAGAGGGGGTTGGCTCCCTCTTCGGCGAAATCAGGGGGGCGTGGAGGACCCCTCCCCCAAATCTCCTCGAAACTCCTTCCTCCCTCCCTTCCCCCCCAACAAAATTCAAGCAGAAGGAATGAGGCTTATTAACTGATTTTTTTTAAAAAAAATATTCCAATATGTTTCCCCTGCTTTTCCCCTTCCAAGCCCCCCCCTTGAGAGCCCTTCCTTGGGGTCCCCAGAGGACTAGCTGGGGGGGGGGCTTCCCGGAAGCCCAGTGGCCAGCGTGGGCACACCTCTTTCCTTCTGGCACCGGAAATACTCTGCGCATGCTTGCGTGCCCCCTTGCCCTTTTCCAGTTCCCCTTCTCAGGGGTGTCCTTGGGGGCTCTGTGACCCCATCAGGATCGTGGCCTTGGGGGGTGTTCCAGACCCCTCCCCTCCTCCCCCCTTCTTTTTTCGTCTCCATAACCATCCTTTATCCATCTCTCTCCCCATTCCTCTCGAACCCAGGGCTGGTGGGTTCCTGCCCCCCCCATAACCCTTCCCAAAACCCTTCCAGACGCTTCCGCTAGGCTATTTGCTAAGCTCCAGGTTCGAATGTCGCTCTTCCTCATAGGCCACCAGGCTATTTCCTTGATCCCCGTCCTTCACCCCCCCTTTCACAACTGGGCTTTGCAATATAGACACAAGCGAGCCTCCGGAGATTTCCCCCAGGGGAGGGCCCGATCCTCCTTGAAAGCCCATTTGGGGACCAACCTCTTGCACCTCTGAAAGAAATAATTAAGACCCCCACTCCAGGTTGAGTGCGAATCCTTCTGGGGCAGAGAGAACTGTGCCTGCTTTGTCTCTCCAGCGGCACCTGGCGCTCCCTCCCTCCGTCCCTCCCTCCGTCCCTCCCTCTCGCTTGCTCTCCAGCACAAATCCTGCCCAGACGAAGAAGCCCATCTGTCGTAAAGCTCGGCCCGCTTGGCAGGGGAGCACGGCCTGCGTTTAGCTGGAGCAGCTGCCGAAATTCCTCACGTCAGGGGGAGCTGAGGAGGAGCAGGATCTGGCGCGGGAGGGAGACGCACGCCTGTCTTCCATAGGGAGCCAAAGTTGCTCCCTCAGCCCCCTGCCCCTCCCTTTGCGTCCCTGAAAGGGTTCCAATTCCCATCCTCCCCATTTGGGCTCCGGACGAACTTCACAACGATTCGGGCAATCGGTGGCTTTGGGGGTGGTTGGCCAGGCTTCCTTGGCTTGGCTTCGGGGGGGGCAAAGGTCTGCCCCCCACGGTGGGGCCTCTTCGGTGGCGGCCCCCGCAGATGGGGCACCAGTCCCTGGGGGGGGCAGAGCAATCTGAGGGTTCAAGCTTTTGAGGAACAGGAAAGCGTTGCTCTAACTTCACAACGATTCGGGCAATCGGTGGCTTTGGGGGTGGTTGGCCAGGCTTCCTTGGCTTGGCTTCGGGGGGGGCAAAGGTCTGCCCCCCACGGTGGGGCCTCTTCGGTGGCGGCCCCCGCAGATGGGGCACCAGTCCCTGGGGGGGGCAGAGCAATCTGAGGGTTCAAGCTTTTGAGGAACAGGAAAGCGCTGCTATGTGTCTTGCTGAATGCCCAGAGAGGAGTGGGGTTGAAAACGGCAGCCCTCTGCTTCTGCGCTTACACCCAGCGTGCTAATTGCAGCCAGAGCCATTCTGCAGCTGACTGCCCTGGCAGCAGGAGGCTCAACACTGGGATCGTATTGAGGAGAGGGGCCCGGGGCTTTTTGGGGGGGGAAGCAGCTGCTTCTGAAGGAGACGCTTCCACAGGAGCAAAGGGGTCGGCACGACAGAGCCCCCTTTCGTGGATCATAGGAACCCTCTCTCTTCCCCTCCCCAGGATCCCATCCTGCCCATCAGGGAGCGTCTCGGGGGTCCTGAGGCCACCACCGGTCCGTCGTCACTGCCCTACTCGCGCCGGATGATGCTCCTCACGTTCTCCCTCTGTTCCATCATCTGGCTGAACCGGGGGTTCAAATTGCGGGAGTGGACCTCGACTTAGGGGGCCCGGCTCGGCCACTGCAGCCCCTCCATGCAGGCCCCGTGAGAGGGCAGAAGGAAGGCTCACTGCTCCGTGTCCCTCCTCCAGCCACGGCTGCCCCTCCCGGTCCCCCCGGAGGGGCGCCATGGGGAGCACCGAGGGGTTCCAGTACCGAGCCCTCTACCCCTACCGGAAGGAGCGCGAGGAGGACATTGACTTGCTCCCGGGAGACCTCCTGGTCGTGAGCAAGGGGGCCCTCCAGGCTCTGGGTTTTAAAGACGGCGACGAGCAGGTGCCAAACCAGATTGGCTGGATTTTGGGGGTCAATGAGCGCACCAAGCAGAAGGGGGACTTCCCTGGCACCTACGTGGAGTACGTGGGGCCTGTGAAGATCGCCCTGCCCTCCCACCGGCCGAGAATGCCCCGACCTCTGCCAGCTGCCCCCGGATCGGGCCTGCCCCATCTGCATGAGGAGCAAGGTAAGGCAGAGGGGTCTCCCCTAGTGGCCGACGTGGCAGGGTGCCGTCCAGGAGGGAGGCGGGTGGCGGCCAAGATTTGTTGCACTTTCTCCGACCAGCTCCCCGGCTTTTCTTTGTAACCACAACCCCATATCCGCAGGGGAATCGGTCACAAGCCCCCCGCGGATGCTGAAAAACGTGGATGACAGCAAACGCTATCGGTAGCATGGCCTCTGCTGAAAAACGTGGATGATAGCAAACGCTATCGGTAGCATGGCCTCCGGCTCCCTCTGGTGGCTGGTTCTGGCAACATTGCCTTTAAAAACATGCCTTTCTAGGGTTTTTCTTATCGTTCCTGTTGTTGGGCTGTTTCCGCGCTTGGGAGTTTCTCGGAAAGCTGGCTCCCCTTCTCTGTCTCGGTTGCAAATGTCCAAGTTTGGGTTTTTCGGGATGCATGGGGATCCCGGCGTGGGGGGTGACACGGCTGGACTAAGATGCTGCTGGCCTTTTCCTGTGGATTTCGGCTGTCGCTGTGGGGCAGCGAGAACCCCCCCCCAGCTTTGCTTTGGGCATAGCCGGGCCAGATGCTTGGGGTGGGCAAGCCGGCGAGTCCTTCTGAGATCAGTCGGGTTGCAAGACCCAAAACCCGCCTCCTCTCCCCGGTTTTTCCAGGCTTCGCCCTCCCGGAACTTGCCGAGCAGTTTGGGCCCCCAGAGGTGGCCCCACCTTTAGTCTGCCAGCTGGTGGACGCGGTTGAGAAGAAAGGTGAGCGGCGGTGGCTGGAGGGCTTGTGTAGTATCATTAAGACAAGCCAGTCCCTGAGCCACGATGGCCACTTAAAGGTGGGGGGACACCCCTTTCTTTATAGACATCCCTCCCACCGCTTTCCGGGGGTGGCGTTGGGGGGGCTCTCTGTCCCTGAGCTGTGAAGTTCTTACTTTGATGGGCTAAAATGTACGCCTCTGGTTCCAAGTCCCATGTGCCACTGCCAGGAGACACACGCCCCCCAGAGCCCAGGGCAGCCCCCCTTCCCCAAGAGTCTCCTGTCACTCTCGGGCAGCTCATCCAACCGTCCATGGGGGGGTGCTTTTCCTCTGCAGGGCTGGACAGCAAGATGCTCTACAGGGCGCCGGGCGCGGAGCTGAGGCTAGCGCTGAGAGCCGGTAAGCGGCGGTTCCTCTGGGAGGGACGGGACGGGGGGGGGGTCGGGAGTCCCCGAGGAACCTCTGTAGCCCTCTGGCCAGATTGGTTGCGGATGCTGGGAGTTGTGATCCAGAAGCCAACGCGTATCCCACATCGGCCGAAGCTCAGCTTTGCTGGTGTGGGGACCAGGGAGCGGGAGCGAGGGGTCTTTCGGTAACCCACAGGATGCGTCGTAACGAAGGCCATGAACAACCACATTTTAGGCCCTCCAGGAGCAGGTTCTGACCCTGGGAACCCTGTCCAGAAGGCATGGCCTCTGGGTTTTCCAACTGGCCGGTGCTGTCGGGGAGACGGCGGCTGGACCGGGAGGGGCCCTCCGGCTCGCCCTTGCTGATGCCAACCCCCCCCTCTTTTCTGCTTGCAGATGGGGCTGCCCCCGGTGACCTCGAGGCCCTGGACGTTGTCTCTCTCGGCGAAGCCCTCAAGCGCTACCTCCAGGACTTACCCACCCCGGTGGTGCCCGCCAGTGTGCACAGCGACATCCTTCGGGTGCTCCATGGTGAGCGCGCCGGGCTGGCCAGTCCAGGGGTCAGAGGAGGCGGGAGGGGGCAAAGCCCTGTTATTTTATTTTGGGGCCTTTCCGACCTCTGGCCCTCTCCGCAGAAGCCCCCCAGCCTGACATTTGCCAGAAGCAGCTGCTGTCGGTCCTGGAGCCCCCGGCCGTCCCCCTCGCCCACCTCCTCACCCTGCAGTTCCTCTTACGGCACTTCGCCAAAGTGGCCGAGCAAGCCGAGAGCAATGGGCTGGATGCGAGAGCCCTGGGCGAGATCTTCGGGCCCCTCCTTTTCCGGCCACCGGCCGCTGCCAGGTACGTGAGCCTCGACTCCCCCCTCCCGGGGAACAATGCCAGGGAAAGTGGAGGAGCGAGAAAGCCGTCCGAGGAGGTGCCGAGCGTGCCATTCGAACCAGAGGTTGGAGGAGTTTTGTTTTTCCCGTCATCCACCAGTTATTCTGACCAAGAGGATCACAGAATCGTGAAGCCCTGTAAGGCCATCAAGCCCAACCCCCCAGCTTAGGGCAGGGAAAGAGGAACAGTGAACGGGAGATGGATTGACTCAGCCAAAGAAGCCACAGCTTTTAGTTTGCAAAAGCTTAAGGATTTTCGCACAGCGGATAAGTGAATCAGTGGATGCTGATCCTGCAGACAGGTTGGGGGTTCCTACTGTATTTCTTACTGTGGGATTTTGCTGCTTATTTCCCTACACAAGGTGCTTTCTTGGGTCTGGGTTGCTGAGTGGGCTCAGCTGCCTGCCTGCCGACAGGGTGCGTTAATGCTGGTGCAATTCTCTCTGCAGTGCTGAACCAACGCTGGACGTCTCTGCCTTCTTCCTGGAGACCCTTCTCCAAGCCAAGAGTTTTCAGCCGGATGCACCCCCTCCAGGTAGGCGCCTGGGTTTCCCACGCCCGGGTGGGGGCAGGAACTGGGGGAGAGAAGGGGTTATTAGGAGGACCGCGGGATCCGTGAGGAATCGATTCCAAGCTCCCCCCCCCTTCGGATGCCGGAACACGCGGATATGTGGAACACTTGGCTTCTCTTTGGTGCAAAGGTAGGGGTGCAGGCTTCAGACCCAGAGGTGGTGGTCAGCAGAATTCGGGCCTGATTCGGGGCAGGAGGTGGGTGTTTAAGAAACAACAGGCGGGTTGATTCTCTGCCTCTTCTCTTGCAGCTCTGCCCCCGAAACCCCCCAAGCCGAAGCCCACGGCCGCCACCCTGGCCTGTGGGAATGGCGGCCTTCTCCAGGACGCCGAGTGGTATTGGGGCGACATCTCCAGGTAAGTCAGTTTATGGGGGAAGATCCAGCAGGGAGATACCCAGTGGTGATCTCCTAATCACTGCGGTCCGTTCTCTCCTCTTGGAACCAGCTTCGGGCATCCTCTTAAATTGGCCGTTTTGTTGAAATTGCGAAATCCGGAGACCCAGATTTGTACATCTTTCGCATCAGAGGCAGGAGGGTTTTCCTTCTTCCCCATCGCTCCCAGGCCGACCAGTATCGCCTCCCACTAGGCAAAAGCAGACCTCGGCCAAACTTGGCAAAGTTACTCTTTGTTGGCCCACCTAGAACCAATCCGCCCAGCCTAGAACCGGCAGCCGAGAGGGACGTCTGTCGGGAAGTCAAGATTCCCCCCCCCCGGGTCTAGGCATCGGCCCTGCTCAGAGTGGTGGTATAAAAGCAGGATAAAAATGTATTTTTTCGATTGGCTTCTGTTTTTAATTTAATTCTAGTTTAATTAATTCTCGTTTAAAGTTTGGCACCCTTACTGATTATAGCTTTTAAACGTTCTTCCCTTAATGACATGAGACGATTTGGGTCCGTTAAAGAAGATAGGCGGAGTAAAAATATTTAAAGTAAATATCTGAAAGGCCGCATCCTCCCACACATGCCTGCCCAAGCTTTTAAGATCTGCGGGGGCGCGGGGGAGATTTCATGGGTCCACCAAGAGAGGGCCTCCTTGGTTCTGGCACCCAGGTCCAGGACGTCCCGGCCGAGAAGGGTCAGCTTGGCCCCCTGACCGGTAGGTAGCACATGGAACTTCAAGCCGGCCATTCAAGGCCAACAGTCGCAAAATCTGACCGCCTGTAACCTCGTCCTCTGGGGAGCCCCATCAGGGTCTCAGGGCTGCCCGGACGGAACAACATTCGCTGTGTCTTTTTGGGCAAGGGACCCGATCTACTCTTTTTCCGCTTCCGGCAGGGAGGAGGTGAACGAGAAGCTCCGGGACACCCCCGACGGCACTTTCCTGGTGAGAGACGCATCCAGCAAGATCCAGGGGGAGTACACCCTGACACTCAGGTGAGGAGAGCGGGGTGCATCCCTGCCTGGTTGGGGGGGCAGCCCTGGGAAGGGGGCAGCAGCAGGAGAAAGCTCTGAAAGAGGGTGGGGGATGGCTTGGAAATAATGCCCCATGGATAGTGCAGCCCCATTGTGTTTGGGGCTAGTACTGGGAGACCAAGAGAGAGAGAAAGAACACGAGGAAGAAATTCACAATCAGCCCTTTTTAACAGGGAGCAGCTGGTGGAAATCCATTTGCTATAGCCAACCCGTCAGGAAAGAGAGAGGAGGAAGTTATTCATCAGCCCTTGTTTCTCTCCTCTCACAGGAAAGGTGGGAATAACAAGCTGATCAAGATCTTCCACCGGGATGGCAAATACGGCTTTTCGGAGCCCCTGACCTTCAACTCGGTGGTGGAGCTCATCAACCACTATCGGCACGAGTCCCTCGCCCAGTACAACGCCAAGCTGGACACCCGGCTGCTCTACCCCATCTCCAAGTACCAGCAGGTGAGGGGGAAACGGCCGGAGGAACGATAACGATAAGTTAGTGCAGGTAAACAGAGCCACATAGATAGGGGCAGTCTACCTTTGGGTACCAGTGATGAGAGACAATACGAGGAGGGTTGCCCTTGTGCATTTCTCAGAGGTTTCTCTTCTCCTTCCTTCCCTCACCTCGAGAGAGCTTACCGGTCTAAATGGATCCTTTCTGGGGGCCTGTTCTGAGTTCAGAAGTATATCTATATCTATATACATACCATATTTTTCTGTGTATAAGACGCCTCCCACTTTTCTAACCCAAAATTAAGAAATCTATGTGGGGCTTAGCAAGTGTAGGGGAAAAGGGATCAAAGCACTGCAGGATCGCTTTGATCCCTGCTTTCCCCTCCACTTGTTTTTGTTCTCTCCTCAGCTTAATTCCGTGTATAAGACGACCCTCAATTTTTATTCTAAAGATTTTAGACAAAAGTATAGTCTTATACATGGAAAATACAATATATATTGAGCTACGGCTACCTGCATAACTAGTGGGGGGGGGTAAGTAACTTCCAGGTCCCTACCTGAACTAGAAATGCATGAGCAGGGGTCAGAAATGTAATTGAGTGCTCTGATCATCCTTCGCCCTCATTATCCTTCTCTCAATCCTGGCTCAAAAGGCCAAAACAACAGGACTTGGACGGACTCAAAGACCGACACTTAACGAGACAGCAGGAAGCTTGTCTAAAAATTAAGTCCTTGACAGCAAGGAGGCACTAACGTCACCAAAGTCATGAGCAACAGTCAAATCGCATCGTTTGCTGTAAAATTTAGTTTTTGTTGTGAAGGTTCTCACAGATCAGGATAACGAGAGTTTGAGTTTTATTATTATACGGCCATAGACCTGAGCATTCAAAGAGAAAAACATTATGAGGGTAACGAATCCCATGGAACGAATGCGTTCTAGGTTTTGTTGCCCACGAGAGGCCACCGTTGCCTTCCCGTCTGGCCTTTGGGCGTTTGGGGAAATCGGGAGGTGGGGATCCGACCGGCTTCTCTGAGCCCGACCTGGCCGGCTGGCTTGACTGCTTGGTCTCTGGCAGCCAGAGGGGCCAGCCCTGGAGAGCACTCTGCAGGTTTCCACCTGGCTGGGCATGGTTTTTCTCCTTGGGGCCGGTTACTCCCTCCCTCAATATCCCACCCCGCGAGGGGGTTGCCGTCGGTGGCGCCAAGCCTCTCACCAACCCATTGGCCTTCCTCCTCCTCTGGCAGGACCAAGTTGTGAAAGAAGACAGCGTGGAGGCCGTGGGGGAGCAGCTCCAAGTCTACCACCAGCAGTACCAGGACAAGAGCCGCGAGTATGATCTCCTCTATGAGGAGTACACGCGCACCTCACAGGTAACAGTGGCTGGTGCCTGCAGCAGTGCACACACACACACACACCCCACGGTCTGAGGGGGTATCGCCCTGGGGTCAGAGTCTCCTGAGAAAACATGAAGCAATGCTGTCAGAGTTGTCCTTGTGGGCAGAGTTTTAGGACTGGGGAGGAAAATGCCGACATCTACCTTGTTTTCAACCCCCCAATATCTGAACCTTGGGGTGATGGGCACTTGAGTCACCTCCGACGGACGGCCGCCCAACGAGTGATGGCCCTCCCAAACGGGCCTTGCTTTTCCCCGCCGCGAGGGTCTCCTCTTCCAGCACTATCTCTTCTTTCATTTTGCTTGGGTCCAGCCAATCTGGTCACCTTCCAGCTCACGGTGACCTTAGCAAGGAACCATCTCTGGAAGACGATCCCCAGAAGGTAGCTGTGGTTTTTCTCTCGGAGTATTTGGCACAGTTTCCGTCAAGGAGTGATGGTCACCTTCCAGCTCACGGTGACCTTAGGAAGGAACCATCTCTGGAAGACGAGACTCTCAGGGGCAGGGAAAAAGCAGAGAGAGGGATCCCCAGAAGGTAGCCGTGGTTTTTCTCTCGGGGTATTTGGCACAGTTTCCGTCAAGGGGTGATCTTTCTCTCTCTCTCTCTCTCTCTCTCTCCCCCCACCCCACCCCCGCCACGGGGGTCAGGAGCTGCAGATGAAGCGGACGGCCATCGAGGCCTTTAACGAGACCATCAAGATCTTCGAGGAGCAATGCCAGACGCAGGAGAAGTGCAGCCGGGAGTACCTGGAGCGCTTCCGTCGGGAAGGGAACGAAAAGGAGCTACAGCGGTGAGTCGTGGGGGCGAGGAGGCTGGGAGGGGTGCCCGGGACCCCCGCAAGGGCACCCTTGGGCACAGGGCCACCCCCAATCTTTGAACCCTTCCTCCTCCCCTGGAAACCCCAGGATCCTGATGAACTCGGAGAAGCTGAAGTCCCGCATTACGGAGATCCACGACAGCAAGACGAAACTGGAGCAGGACCTCAAGCAGCAGGCGGCCGAGAACCGGGAGATCGACAAGCGCATGAACAGCCTGAAACCCGACCTGTTGCAGCTGCGGAAACTCCGAGACCAGTACCTGGTGTAAGTGCCTGCCCCCCAGGGGAAAAAAAACCCACGCAAACCCCTAAAGCCCCACCCCCACCCCGGATCAGGGGCTTCCCAACTTCTTATCCGAGAAGAAGGGCAAGCCTGCCCTCCGGTGGTTGTTCTGTGCAGTGCAGCCTCTGCCACCCCTCCGCTTGATTTGGACTAGAAACAAAATTAAATCCATTCCGAACGAGAACTCCTGTAATTCGTTCTCCGGGTTTCCTCTTCGTCTCTACTTTAGAAGCCAGGGCCAGGAGTCCCGAAACCGGCTTTTCCAAGCCGTACTTTGTACAAACGGGTTGACATCTTTTAAGCTGAGCCATAAATCTTTAATTAATTTATATGTATAGAAGGACTGTGGTGTCCATGAAGTGGGGGGGTCGGTTCCAAACCCTCCCACCCACGGATGCCATAAAATGCGGATAATCGCAAACACTTATTTTAATAGCAAATGCTATCTGTGACAGGGTCTCTGGCTCCCTCTAGTAGCCAGGTCTGGTGATGACACGGTGGAAATATATTTTTCTAACATGGTCTCAGGCTCCCTCTTGTGGCCAGTGCTGGTCACTTTCCTTATTTTGTATATGTGTTGGAGATTTTTCTTTTTAATATATTTAATTTTATAATAATAGTTTATGGTGGCTGACGACCAGGAAGATTAAAACACTTTTAGATAAAACCACATGATATCAGAGACATTGGTCAAGACAGGTCACTGTCTATGTGTATCCGTGGATAACTAATCCAGCGGATAAGACAGTCCTCCTGTATCCTTAATTTGCTTCTATGTCTATACCCTGTCTGGAAAGGCAGGGAGGCTCACACTGCTCTCTTGCTCTCCCCCCCTCCCTGCCAGGTGGCTGACGCAGAAAGGCACTCGCCAGAAGAAGATCAATGAGTGGCTCGGGATCAAGAACGAGACGGAAGAGTAAGCAGCGCGTGAGGAGGTTGGGGTTGGGCTAGATGACCTTCCGGGTCGCTCCCAGCCCTCCAGGTTTTGGGGTCATCTCCCGTTGCAGGGGACCGCCTGGGCGAGAGGCGAGGGTCGACATCCCCCTTGTTCTCCTGCCTTGCAGCCAGTACTCCATGATGGAAGACGAGGAGGAGCTCCCCCATCATGAGGAGCGGACGTGGTACGTGGGGAACATCAACCGCATCCAGGCGGAGGAGATGCTGACCGGCAAGCGCAACGGGACCTTTCTCATCCGGGAGAGCAGCCAGAGGGGTTGCTACGCCTGCTCTGTGGTGTAAGTCTCCCACAGATACACAAACCAGTTTTTTAAAAAGTCCTGTGTTAATTTAACGGTGTGGTTCCCCGTATCCAAAGGGATCGGTAACCGCTGATCCACTTATCCATGGTCTGGAAAATATTAAAAGAAAAGTCCTAGAAATATGTTTTAAATCATCCAAGTTAAGAGAACTGGCCACAAGAGGGAGCCAGAGACCGTGCTCTTTAGAGTGCTATTAAAATAGTGTTCATGATTATCCTCATTTTTTAGCCTCTGTGGAGCGCTTTGGAAGGGATCCACAGAGGGAGCCAGAGACCGTGCTCTTTAGAGCGTTTGCTATTAAAATAGTGTTCATGATTATCCACGTTTTTCAGCCTCTGTGGAGCACTTTGGAATGGATCCATCATGAATACAGGACTCCTAATGTACTTTGGAAAAAAGACCAAAATTCTTGCCTTATTTAGCAATGTCCACCTCTGGTGCCTGCCCTGTCCTCTCGATTCGGGGAGGGGGGCAGCTGCTCTCTTTTAAAAGCCAACACCTCTGTTTGATTACAGGTCTCTTTCAGAGTTTGTTGTTGGCCATTTGGAGGACTACGAGGTCCATGATTCCCCAGCCGAGGGAATTGTGCAGGGTTATAGCACTCCCTCTCAAAGTGGTGTTCCCCGTTTTTCTCTGTCTCTTCCTGGGACAGCTGCTGCCTTGGCAGCCCCCACCCACCTACCCACCTCCCATTTTCCCCTTGGGATGCCTGGACCTTCATCTTCTTCCTCTCTCCCTCTGTGCCTCCCTCGCAGGGTGGACGGCGACACCAAGCACTGCGTCATCTACAAGACGGTGACCGGCTACGGCTTCGCCGAGCCCTACAACCTCTACGCCTCCTTGAAGGAGCTGGTCCTGCACTACAAGCACACCTCCCTGGTGCAACACAACGACTCGCTCAACGTCACCCTGGCTCACCCCATCCTCTCGCAGCCCCCGCCGAGATGAAGGACGGGAATCCGCCCCGCTCGCACCGCCATTTGCCCCCCCCACTTCCCCCCCCAGGCCCCCTCGGCTGCCCTATAGGATTGGGGGAGAGGGGTGGAACGAAAGGTCTGCGGGGTCTGAACTCTCTCCCAACCTTTCCCTCTCCGTGGCCCTCCTCCTCCTCCCCTTCCAGCCCCACAGGTACCATTTCCCCCCCTCTTATGTGCTGGTACGGTTCTTGGGACATTTTCCCCTACAGTGTGCGCACGGGGGGGGGAACCCTCTCCCCACTCCGAAACCGGGAGCTTTTCCAGACTGCTTGCTTTCTCCCTGGGATCACATTTGGTGAGGAATTCACCCCCGATGCCAGGGCATCCCCGCTGGAAGGTCTTCCCTTGGCCAGAGGCTCTTCTCCCCACCCCACCTGTGCCATCAGGCAAGGGATATTGTTGGGGGGGGTATCGCCCCCTCCTGTGCGCTGCGGGTTTTGTCCCTGAACACACCCATGTTGCCCGAACCCTTTTGGCCAGCCTCCATAGCTGGCTCTTGGCCCAACCGTGTGAGCACTTTACCTCCCCCGGGGGCAGCTATGGGGTGGGGAAGAGTGATGAGTGGGGGGGGAACGTATTTCCTGCTCTGTGTCCCTTCATGGCTGCTCTGCCTCCTTCCAGTCTCTCCCCAGGGCTCTTTATCCCAGGATCGGGGGGGGGGGTTCAGCCCCTTGGGTGGGTTTGATCCCATGTTGGGGCAAATGGAGAAATGAGACCCCCAACTGTTGGGTGGTGGAGACGGTCATCGGGGCCAGGCCCTCCTCTTTTTCCTGCTCGTTCTCCTTAAAGGTCTCGCATCCCCCTCGGACCAAAGCCGGCTGATTCACAAATTCCTCTGCTCCCCCCATTCTTAAGTCTGTATCTGAATCTTTTCTTGCACCCGGCACGGTGGACATCTCCCCAGAAGCTCTGGTGGCCTTCCCAAAGGAGAGGAGGAAGGGGGGGGGAAACGGACCAAATATTTTTAGCCAACGGGCTGCCCCCGGCTTCCCTCCCCAACTCCGTGCCCAAGTTGTGGAGCCGTTGGATGTCCCCGGAAGCTGCCCCCGGAAGCTGCCCCGTAGCCGTGCCGCCCCAGGGCCGGGATCTGTTCTGTGTGCAGTTTTTTTCCTTTGTCTTCTTAATGGAGAGGCCTCGTCTGGGACCCCAAGTTTGGCAAAGTTACTTTCCCCCCCCCAGATCTTGTCAGATTCCCCCACAGCCGGGAGGGGTGTGTGTGTATGTGTGCAAGACCTCCCCTCTTTTGCAAAGCGGGCCCGGATCGAAATAATCCCTTTCTAAGCCATGTATTTTGAGCGCAGAGTGAGGAGTTGTCTCTGGCTTTTATGGGAGCTGTGTTGTGATGATGATGGAAGGCTGAATGGGCTCAGCTCAGTGGGACGCCCCCCCATCCCCCCGGAGCCAAATATCCCCGTTCCTTCATGTTCTAGATATATATGCAATAACACCCACCGCCTTGCGATTCCAGCTCCCCCTCTTCTTCATCCCAGCCATCATTTTTACCCAAGTTCCTTTCTGTTTAAAAAAAAAAGGGGGAAAAAGAAAAATAGTTTACGTACTTCAATCCTTGTAACCTCCAGTATTTGTGTCAGGATTTGTTACTGTAAGATTTAAAAAAAAAGAGTTTTGTACGGTACTTCAAAAGGGAAAAAAATATTAAAAAGACATGAGATCAGGCAGAAATATTGGATTATTATTTTATTTCCCCACCGCTACCTCTTTGCAAAAGAGAAGGGTTGAAAGTAATTTAAAAACGAGAACAAAAAGCATTTAAAAATAATAATAAATCGCCGCAGGGGCCGTCCGAAGACTGAAAGGCGGAACCATGATTGAGGAACTGGGTCGCTGGCGATTTGGGTAGGCGGTTTTGTGGTTTTTTGCAGGAAAGGAGAACCGAGACTTAAGGCGTGCCTTCAACTCTTATTTGGGACATGGGGGGGGCAGGAGAGCCAAAGGGTGCCTTTATAGGATCCAGAGCTCAACAAACTGCTTCCGTGGCTCGAGTTGCGTCACTTTTCAAAAGTTCTAGAATCATAGAGTTGGAAAAGGGGCCTCTGAAGGCCATCCAATCTAACCCCCTGGCAGGCAGAAACACCAAGATCTGACTGGTGGCTGACCCATTTTCTCTTGAACGCCTCTAATACTTCAGATCCCCCCCCCCCGCNNNNAATCTGGCTTCCTGCCACTTCAGCCTATTTTGACATGTCCTGCACTCGAGGAAGACGGGAGGACAGATCGGGGTTCGAAAACCGATTCCCTTGTTGGTCGCTTCTCTCCTCGTGTTGCTTTTGCTTGGCTTTCCACCTCCGGGGGCTTCTCGTGGTTGGCTCGCCACCGGGTGGTTTAAACACCGGCTTCCCCCAAAATCCCAGCCTCTTTCTTGGTCCTGACAAACGGGCTTTGGGGAGCCGAGATCCGATTAGGGTGCTCGGCTGGAAATGGAGTAGAGCCCGGTCTGTGAAACCGACTCGGGGGCTCTGCCTTGGTCTACCTAAGAGGGCCGTTGTGAGGAGGGGCCAGTGGTCCTGTTGTAAGGGATAGATAAGAAAATAATTCCCCTTCCTGTCACGAATGTACCTTTCCCTCTACGGGAGCAAAAGGTGTTTGCAAACTCCCCCAACCGGTTTTCCCATGCAGGGCCCGGCTTGCAAGACTAGACAAACCCGGCAGATGGATTATCTCCTCCTGCTCCGATGCGGCCTCCCTCTTTCACCATGCAGTAATTAATTGGCATCAAAAAGGTCACGAGGCTGACAAATCCAGACTTTCCCTAACTTTTGCACCGTGGTTGACTTGGGAGTTTTACAAATATCGCTTCGTCTCCTGGGGTGGATTGGCTTTGTTGGTAACGTTTCCAAATACTGTAACAGAGTTGGACGGGGCTCCAGAAGGCCATCCAGTCCAAAACGCGCCCCCCCCCCCGGCTCAAGACAGGGACCCAAATCCAAGCAGATCTGACAGACCGGTGAGGAAACTGATATTCTGAGCCCTTGTCAATGGGTACACCTGCTGGGGAAACCTGCCTAATAACATCCCATCTGTATGCCTTCGGACTCCCATATCTGAGGGATCGTGATCTGCTTACCCATGTCTCTGCAGTCTGTAAATGTTAAAAGAACAAATCGTAGACATCTAAGATTTCTCAAGATGGAGACACCAGAATGGGCCGCTAGAGGGGGCCAGACACCCCGCTAGAGATGGAGTTTGCTATCACCCGCGTTTTTCAGCATCTACTGAGGGGTTGGAACCGATGCTCCTCCCGCGGATACAGAGGTCCTACCGCCTTCCCCCCACGACCGGACTCATTGATTCTTTAGAGGCAGGCGTTCCTCCTCTTCACCAGAGCCCTCAAAGCTCACCTGTGTCATCACCTGCGGTCCAAGAGCCCCCCTAACAGGTGGGTTTGGGAGGCAAGGGAATGAATGGAGGCCCGGCTGAGTCCCCGTGCGCCCTCCCCCACTTTGCTCCGGCCCCGATCCTACACTTCGGGAGGCCCGGCGGACTTTGCACCCGCTCTTTGCCCGGGAGGGA